CTAATTAAGCGATATAATTGCAAAACGGTTTATAACGTTTCCGGTGATAAAAACATGAGAAAGGCAAAATTCATAAAATTCGTTTTATAGGCTTGCTTTGTCTGCCAGAAACGTCTTCAGAGGACGGTATCTCCGGTTCTCGGTGATATCGTTATCGTAGCTTCCACGATTGTTACAATCTCGTTCCGACAATGCTTGTACGATGCTTTCTCTCGTATTCCTGGTAACAATCCCGCTTGACTCTGACCAGTCGTGAAAATTTGAAGATTTGAATGCGTAAGCTCGTTCGTTTAACGATCGATCCGTGCTTAATCTTATCCGACGCTCTCATAAATCTGACATACATTTGTTTTATAATTCTTGCATGCCGATTATGAATTCCTCAGGGTCACGATGTGATAGATGGTAATTTTCTCGCTCTCAATTTTACATAGTAATTTATTAAATTAAAATTAATCAATTTTTAGATTAAAAATATATATAAGTTGTTAGAGCAATTTTTGTCGCAAATAATTTTCTCGGAAAAATTAATGAATACGAAATTCTCGGAATTTATGAATATGGAGATAATATGTGTGCATCTCTTAGAATAAGAAAATAACTTTAATAACTCTCAGTTTCATGCGAATATCCCTGCCTTGATACGCAATACAATAACAGGCAAAGCTGCGTTCAAGGAGGAAAAGGGATTGCTCGAATGGAACGAATTCGCTGTAGTTATACGTGTCTTATCGTGCTATGTGGTGGGGAATGAGTCATTTCAACTCCAGCTCGCGGTATGAAAAGTTGCGGCTCGGCTTTTTTCGAATAAATTATCATTTCGCATGAATATGATCAAGTATAATTTCTGTATCTGTACGTGAAGTATTATATTTAAAAATTTATTAGTTATTTATCATTCGGAAAAAAATGGAAAGATATCATAAATTACAGTACAATAGGATAATCCCAGATAAAATTTTTCCAGTTTTGTGATTTATCATTTATTATTTGTTTTTTTTTTTTTTTTCTTTGTATCATCTCGAGTTTCGTATTCAGTACTTTCGCGGTAATGTTCGCGCAGAGTTTCCAGAAAATTTGAAAACTTCTAGCGTTATCTTGTAATTCTAGGAATTACATGCGCTTAGGAAACATCTATCCGTTGTTTACTTAGGCGGTTATCGGTACGAGTGCACCTGCGCCATCGTCTGCAACAATACGCGTCTCTCGGATGCGAGCCATTAGACCGTTAATCGCAGGAAGTCGCTTTTCTGGAGGACATCGGCGTGTTTGACGGCGTTTTTAATTAATTTTCGTGAGACACGCAAATTTTGCGCGATATAGGTATTAAATGAGGGATGCATGCTCTTTCTCTTTCGATCAGAAAATTTCAGTCGCTCACCTCCGACGAACTTCCATTTCCGGTAATTTTCACGAGATTACGTAAATTCCGCATTTATCCGTCGTGATTGCTTGCATCACGATCCTATTATGTTGATTTGATTTATTTCGAAAGAATACAATCCTTAATAGTATTATTTTTAATACGATAAATTTAATTTTATATGTATATATCTTCAAAGATTTATAATATATCAGAATTTATAATATATCAGAAGAGAGAAAAAGAAAGAGAAAAAGTTTATATTTAATAATTTATAAAAATATATGCGATTATTTTGATGAGAAAAATTTGTTTAATAAAAATTTTATTTTTTTTAAATAATTTTGAGAAAATTGAAAATTTTTATATAGTCAAACGAAAAGAAGTAATAGCAAATTTTCAAATGGTTGTTGTGGTAAAGACATGATTGCGAGATGTAATTACTCTTTATTTAGATGAAAAGTTATGAATATGTAGACGATGTGATGGGTGCTTTCATTCTTTCATGACGTTAACATACTAGTTATGATAATGGAATGCGTAGGAGGCAAACAATCGAGGGATTCTACGGTATGGTGGGCGTTGTAATAATTATGCGCGCGTGATCGAAATACTTTTAGAATACATTAATTTAAATACATTAATTTTCTTTTATAAATAATCTATTTAAATAATATTTTAAATTTATAAATTAATGCACAAACAATAATTTAACAACAATTTGGGATTTATTAATTAATTATTTTTTGATGAATTTATCGCAAAAACGATTACTCATTTTCTGGAGAAACCCTGGAGGGAAGGCAATATTTTTATCTGCATGAAAGAATTTATATTAAACTTCTTTTCTAGATCTCGTTTATTATACGTTTCAAATGTCATCTTATTAGAAGGATTTTTGCAAATGGCGCACAAATAGATTGTGTAATAGAGGATTCGAGGAAGTCGGTGTACAATCGCGAATTGCGATATTGTACTCTCGATACAATTAATAGTCATTCTCTTGTGCTCGTTTTCCATTTCGTGCAAAATAGGACATTTCCTGTCTTCTTTGCGTAACGTGTCTGATACAAATGCAAGAGTATGACATATTTCAATATGAATACGCCCAATTTTTTAGTATTATTTGTACAAACTTTTCTTTATTTGCGTTTAATTGATAAATATTTCAACTTGCATGCAATATTTATTTCTTCGTTACTTATTCTTTAAAAAAAAAAGGGCGAGAATGTATTTTCTTAAGAGTTGTTAATTGACTTGTTACATAAATTAAATCTAAAATTTTACATAAGGAGGACAGCGGGGGAGACATTCTGAATTCCGTTATTCGATCTTATTCGATTTCCGCGTCTCGTTCTAGAACGATTTTAGAGGAAAGCGTGCCAAAAACCCGCACACGTTTCGCCTGAATACATATGCAGATAACGGGGATTCCCCTCCAGGGAAGAAACGAGTCGACAAGTATTGCACCATGTTTTTTCATAGCATAGGTATAATTAAATACTCGCCTGCGTGACCCGTCGATAAGCGCGTGTTTATTTCGAAGCTTGATACGCGCGTTTGCTAGTCCCGGAATGTTCTCCTCTTAATCAACAATTTTATTCTTGCGTCAACGCGCGTGCAACAAATTACACGTCCGTTTGGGCTAAAGAGCACAGGTGAATTTGTAGCGCACGTGAAAGTACATAAGTTATTCTTGTTTTCATAATATTTTTAGACAGGAAATTCTTTTCTCCTATTTATAGAACTGTAATGAAATATTACAAATATTAGAAAGTTTTGTTAGCAAAAAATTGATTTGGTTTTTCTTTTTAAAACAAGAAAGGCATTTCTCCATGATTTCAAAATTTTATTAGCAATTTTTTCAAGTTTAAAGTTTTCAGGAAATTTAATAATTGTATAAATGTATATAAAGGAGTATGACTGATATCGCGAAATTATCTGGATAATTGACTTCAAAGATTTTGAAGATCGATTTCGCATTTTACGCGCGATTAAAATTTTAATTTATGATGCATTGCGGATACATTTGGGTTCGAGGTTACAAAAAGAAAAAATCGTGATGATCGTGAGAAGCATTCATGATCGTTGTCGTCCCATGGCACAGATTCCTGCAGTTTTTATAGGGTCGTTGCATCAGAAGCGGCGGAATAAAAACGTCATGTGCAACATGCGCGAAATTTTCGCGAATTATCGTGATCGTACAGTCAGTCTCTCTGCAAAAACGTGTGTAGAACTCGGTCTCGCCATTAACCTTGTAAAATTCTGATCTCTCAATTGTTATTTTTAAAGAAAATCGCGTGGACGCTTCAATAATACCGTCATTTCTATATCAGATAAAATAGGACTTTTATTAGAGAATTTTGCTGTAATGAAATTTATCTTAAAATTTATTTTATGTAATGTATATATATACAATATAATATGTATATGTATGTACACACATTCTGTTCTATCACATTATTTATTAAGTTTTAATAAGATTGATTGATGCATGATGACGAGAAGAAATTTATTATAACAACACATACACATATAGATACGATTCTATTTTATTTAGCATTCTTTATATTGGAGTCTTGCATTCCGTGTATATTATTACGTATACCTTGTTTCGTATCTAATTTCTATTTTGATTACTGTAATTACATCGTATTAGATTATCGAGACAGTCGTCACGGAGAAAGGAAAAAGTTCCGTTTACACGCGTAGTTTCCTTTCGCGGGCGAAATAAATGGCTGCATGGTAATTCGCGAAATACAGAAAGCCAGTCGTACGTGAAATTCAGTATGTAGGACTGTAGCGAGATAGCCGACTAACATTATTTCGAAGGGATTTAAACGGTTCGCGCGGCTCGGGAACCGGTTCTTCTCCAACGTCGCGGTAATGGAATTCCTTTAAGTACCGTTCAGAATTGCATCAAGGATCCAAGGTCATTATAAGTATCTCTCCGCGGGCAGCGATCTTTATCCGCGCCAACTCGTGAGTAATAACGTGTCGTGGCGATACCCGGCCGAGGAGTCGCGATACCATCGCGAAATACTCGAGCGGAAATTCATATTTTGTTGAAGGCGCGTAGTAGTAGGCACTTGTGAATCTCACCGTATTACAATGTGCATTTTTTATCGGTAGTCTGTGCGCGTTGTGTAGAAGCTTGCGCGCCAACACAAGCGAAACGTCGAAAAAACCACAATGTCATTCGACTCAGAAGAAATATCTTGTCTCGTTTTTTCTGCCTTCGTAACTCGGATGCGAAGCTTGGATACTATTTCTTGAATCAATGATTATACCTTAATTCTAAGGTCATTAAAAAGAATCGCATTAATAACGCACAATTATAAAGATACAAAGATACATATATTTTTTTTCTGATCGATGCTGCATTTAATTTATACATCACATCTATTTATATTTAACTTTAGTAACATTAAAAAACATTCTATTAACAGGCTGGTTATTAGATATGCAGAGCATTTTAAATTATATCATGTCACCTGATTGATAATTTCAAAAGTGTCCTTGTATATTATTTTTTTATACATTATTTATTTATGTATTCCGTATATAGTATTTTTTTAATTTGAAAAAAAACGCCTTTTTCCAATAATAATATATCCTTCTGTTTTTCTCGTTTCAGAACACGCAGAAGTCAATCGGCTCCAACGACACAGCGCACAGCAACAGCACCACCATGGCACAGACGACGACTAGCAACAGCAGCGGCAATATGCGGGAAAACGGCAACGGTGACATGAACCACGTGCACGGCACGGGTAACGGCAGCGTGGGGGATGTTGCGAACAGCAGCGAGCCCCGATCCGAAGGCCTGAACCTGAAGATGAGCGTGAAGGAGCTCAGGGAGCAGCTGGCGAAGCGCAAGAAGTACGACCCGAAGAAGGAGTCGATCGGCTTCAAGGACAAATTCGACATCGTGCAGAAACTATAGATGTATCCTCTCGCCTGTGTGACACATCGGTAATTCCTTTCCCTTATTCCTCTCTTTAGAGCCGCCGTTGTCATCGCCGCTCGACGACGATGACGACGGTTTCCTCCTTACGATATAACACGCCGTGTTATAACCGATCAAATTGTTGTCGTTATAATAAATAAACACGCGATACTCCGTTATTTAGGCGCGAACGCGCCAAGCGTCAATGTCGATATCGTAACATTGATACACGTACTCGTATTTAGTGACAAAGAATGTTGCGGAGAATATTAGGATAAAGAAAGATAATGCTGTTTGTACGCGTGTAAGTACATTGTTAATTTTTCGGTTTACACGAAGACAAACTTACACGTGCAATCTCTGTCGCTTCCACGTCGGAAGTTACGACGGATTTCGAACCAGTTGAGCTTATCAACCTTTAAAAGATAGAACTATAATAAAGAGAAAGTTTTTTTTTGACACGTTTCAAATTATTATTTTTTTTTTTATAACAATTATAGTTACACATAGTGATCTAAATATATCTATCGTTTTCTTTTCCGAAGCAAGGCACAATTTAGTTTTATTAAAAATGTTCCTGTTGTAAATATAATTACAACACTTCCCGATATATATTATTAGCGGATAATTAAATCTCACGCTCTCGACTTGATTACCCACGGGGAGTCGTCACATTCACTTCTAAGCATCGTCTCGTCCATTAAATTCGGGAGATCCGCTTGCCGCTTCTTCCCACGACTTTCTCTGACAAGAATTTATCTTTTGATGTAGTAATCATTTCGAACGTTACGTCGATCGTGTTAATCCTTTGCCGGAATTCTCAATCGCGAATAAAGAGTGACTTTGAACAGAAATCGGAAATTTATCTCGACATTCAAATTTCATAGTCTTGATCAATAGTCCGGAGCATAAATCATAGAAAATTAACTTATTGTTAGTATTCATTGTGAAACTATAAAGTTACAGTAAATATTCGATTATTTAAAGGATTTTTTCAAGCATTTTAAATATTTGTGTTTTTAATTTCGTGAACGTTAATTTCTGTTTTCTGTTTATCGCGATTTATTGATTTAGTCACTTGAGGCTGAAGATTGACACGATCGCGTCAGAATGATAAATTGATGTCGACATATGGAGAATTGGACGCGCGCGCGGAACCTCTTGGTAATCTTTCTATGCGAAGCGTAAAAAATTCGCATGAGTCGCGCAGATGTCAATTCCGACTGTATCCGCCTAGAGTCTCAGTCGTGGCGAGGTTTTAAGGACTCGCAAGGACGGACGTTCCTCGCGTGCAATGGACATGCGAAGTCAGTCAGTCGCCCGTTGCACGTTCCAAGGACGAGCGCGCTGACGAGCGTGGGGAGAAAGTACACAGACGAGTCTTCTCATTGTCAGTTTAATCTCCGTTATCGAATTCAGGACGCGAGTCGTTTTTACGCGCGTTACAACATCGGGCAAAGATTAAACGTCCGCGAATCTTGTAATCTACAATAAACCGTTTTGATATATTTGCTCAAATTTGACTCGGTACTTAACGTGGTTAATTCGAAGTACTAACAACGTAGACAACGCCACAAGAATTAAACACTAAACTAAAATGAGTAATTACTCTGATTAATGGTTGATGTGATAGTCACATTGTTTGAATGATATCGTTACGAATAACACACATGGCAAGCTTTCGTATAAATAATTTACAAAATTAAAAAAAATTTTTCTTTTGATTCTCTAAAATATATTTTTCTTAATAATTTTTAGTACTTTAATTAGATCGACGATTTTATTCCAGATGTGATTAGTTTTCAGAAAGAATATCCAGTTCGATGATAATTATTTAATTTCCAGTCATATACTTTTTGATAAGAGAAAATATACTGGACATTTTTAATAAGCGTAATATTAGCGATAAATATAATGTAATGTTAGTGACTAATTGGACCAATTAAATTCATGGGTTATCATCTAACTTAAAGATTATCTAAGATAAGAAGATGGGAATCCTAATGTTTCTCGTCATTAGTGCCACAAAACATCATTTAATTATCGATTTATTTAATAATTTATAATTTTGCTGAAAAAGAATATAATTTCTTACAATTATTGATGAGATTTTATGCACTCTAGAAATTAAAATTTTCCCAAAAATATGTGACTTTGCAATTTAGAAAAAGGAATTGAAGATAAATTTTCAAAAAAATTATGCACTTTATTTACAGCCGCGCGATTTCTCGATTCTTTTCATGTGCACTCTCTTCCTTTCTTTATTCCCTTTCATTGTAGTTTCCGGTTAACGACCGCCACGGTCACTGATTGCGACACGTCTCGTAGAAGAACGCGTGCTAACGTTCTTCGAATAATTTTCATATCATTAGACTTATGCACAATACAATACGTATATTACAATAGATAAAGAAAAATGCAATGATATCTACTGAAAATTCATAGGCAATTAATATCGATACAAGTCGAAAGGGAAAAATATGATTCAATCGTAATCTCGATTCTTCAACATAATTTAATTGGCTTATCACACGATATATATTATGGGGTGTTCGCGAAGCTACTCATCGCGGTCATTTATCTTTTTAATATTACACGAATATTCTTGACGAACGATAATACGCCGTCCTCATTAATAACAGAGAGACATAAGGTCTGTTCTTTATAGCTGAACTAGTTGCATTAGTTCAGAGTTTATCTTTTTCTCTCCATATTAGAAGAAGAAAAATAAGCTCTGAACTAGTACAACCAGTTCAGCTATAAAGAACAGACCCATATTTATACAAATGAGAAAGCGGATTCCCTTAATGTACACGTGTCCATTTCGAGCGCAACGAAATTAATTAAGTGCAAGCGACAAGCCAGCGGATATTATCAGAGTGCTACGATAACAGAGGCTCGACAAAGAGGTACTCGCTGCTGCAATTTATAACTCGCGTTCGTCGCGCGCATTTCGATAAACCGGCATTTGTCGAATGCGAAGGCGTTGCATAATCGAGCGAGCGAGGAATGTCGCGTTACAATGGCAACTCTGGAGAGAAACTGCCGCTGCCTCTCCAGGGAGATTCCACCTTCGCCTTCCTCTGACGCGTCTCGTCGAGAGTCGCGGAAAAGTTAGGTATTACCACGAGACTCTTGTTGCTTAAATATTACGATGACTCGTTGTGCAATCTTCGTCGTTGTCGTCATCATTATGCGTTTATTTGTCGGGAACGCGCAGGCACCGCGAGATATCGTGTCTTTTTCGCAAATGCGTGTAAAGGCGAGCACGAAGCTTCGTTATCGAATTGACCCTAGCAATATCGAAAATTTTATATAATTCGCACTTATTAAAAAGAGGGAAGAGAAGAATTTATTGACCATTTAAATTCGCATTCCTTGGTCCTTAAATTGCCGTATAATTGACACTTAATATGAATTATTATACTATTTTTTAAATATTTTTATCTTGTCGTAATGTTTTTTTAATATAATTTTTATTTTTTATAATTATATTTTTATAATTATTATTCTCTTTTCCTTCTTTGATAACGTTAAAAAAATGTTGCAGCATCGTATGGAATAAATCGACTTTTAAATTTTCAAAGAAAATTAAAATTTAATTTACTTATCTTAAATTTGTGTTGCCGTTTGTTTCACAAGCGTTAATAAGCATTTAAAATTTAACCAGTGTTACTACTAAGTTTACGATGCATCGTTAATGTTATGCATCATTTACCAAGGACAATACGCTTCCTGTTAAAGCGGCAATTTATTCTTATGTTACTTAAAGCTATTGTTAAATTTGGTATGAATCTTTGGACGCAAACGAATTCGATTCGAGAACACGAATCCTGCGCGAAATTATTGCCGCTATAATTTATCACGAAAATAGTAACCGCAAATATGAGCGGCTATTAATGTTGTTATTGTGTGCTAATTACATTTCGTACCGTTATGTCATTCAGCGGCTTGCTCGAGTGAAAGTTTAATAACGAGACACTCGATACAATAGACACGCGCGAAGCGGAGAATTGGTGTGAGGAAAAATATCGCATTTATATCGTATCTCTCGCGACGAACACATTCTTGTATCGAAAAATTTCGCGAAATAACGGGTGCGAGGTGAAACGACAAATGACTTGATGTCGGAAAGAATTCCACCTCGCGAGACTTCGCCAAATGATCATAATTAATTAGAGATAGAAATTAGTTGATGCACTTTTCCAGTGAACGCCAAGAGAGAGCGATTATAATCGGATCGAGTTTTACGCCGATGTATCAGTATCCAACGATGCGCATCTCGTTTTCAGAACGAGAACAGCGTAGGAATTTAGCGAGATTAGTTGAAAGGAAAACTGCTCGTTGGAGAAACTACGCGATGATCCGTCCAATCTTGTTGTCTGCGAAAACTGGATATATATATATATATATATATTTATACATATAGAGTCCGTAAAAAAAATTTACTGTTTATATTGGTAGTAAAATTTTCTCTAAAAAAAGAAACCACATTCTCTTATCGAAATCCTATATATTTTTTTGTACATGTCCGATTAAAATTAAGAACTGAATTGAATATCGAACAGGTACGTGATTATATGCGGCAACGTGTACAATCGAAGCCATTATTTTCCTCCGACAAAATTAATATCCGCTTAGTGCAAACGTGCGATACGTCAATATCTTGCAGCGTGTGTATTGCTATTTTATTTTAGACATGCAGAGAGATAGAGGAAAGCAATTTAATGTCTCAACAATGTCGCGATATGAATTCGTTTCGGATGAAAAAGGCAACAGTGAAAGGACTTGTATCCCGAAAGAAATCGCTATTTCATTTTAACGATATCTCGCAAGGCTTTCATGTATACTTAAAAAATATTAAGCGTCGTG